TTTTTTGGCAAAAGGAAAAAAAAAGCAAAAAAAAGATTTCCCCCCCCGGTTAGGGGTTGGAACTTGGGGCCTGTTAGGGTTCAAAAAAATTTCCCAATGCTTTTTAGCCCACTGAGCTATGAGTAACACTTGAAACACTTTTGGAATCATTTTTCCAAAAGAAAAAAAGCAAAAAAGATTTGCCACCGGTGGGGTTTGAACTTGCGACTGTTAGGTTCAAAAAATTGCCAATGCTTATAACCACTGAGCTATAGGAACACATAGGAACACTTTTTGAATCATTTTCTGCAAAAAGAAAAAAAGCAAAAAAGATTTGCCACCGGTGGGGTTTGAACTTGCGACTGTTAGGTTAAAAAAATTGCCAATGCTTCAAGCCACTGAGCCATGAAAACACATAGAAACACTTTTTGAATCATTTTCTGCCAAAAGAAAAAAAGCAAAAAAGATTTGCCACCGGTGGGGTTTGAACTTGCGACTGTTAGGTTCAAAAAATTGCCAATGCTTTTAGCCACTGAGCTATAGGAACACATAGGAACACTTTTTGAATCATTTTCTGCCAAAAGAAAAAAAGCAAAAAAGATTTGCCACCGGTGGGGTTTGAACTTGCGACTGTTAGGTTCAAAAAATTGCCAATGCTTATAACCACTGAGCTATAGGAACACATAGGAACACTTTTTGAATCATTTTCTGCAAAAAGAAAAAAAGCAAAAAAGATTTGCCACCGGTGGGGTTTGAACTTGCGACTGTTAGGTTCAAAAAATTGCCAATGCTTTTAGCCACTGAGCCATGAAAACACATAGAAACACTTTTTGAATCATTTTCTGCAAAAAGAAAAAAAGCAAAAAAGATTTGCCACCGGTGGGGTTTGAACTTGCGACTGTTAGGTTCAAAAAATTGCCAATGCTTTTAGCCACTGAGCTATAGGAACACATAGGAACACTTTTTGAATCATTTTCTGCAAAAAGAAAAAAAGCAAAAAAGATTTGCCACCGGTGGGGTTTGAACTTGCGACTGTTAGGTTCAAAAAATTGCCAATGCTTTTAGCCACTGAGCCATGAAAACACATAGAAACACTTTTTGAATCATTTTCTGCCAAAAGAAAAAAAGCAAAAAAGATTTGCCACCGGTGGGGTTTGAACTTGCGACTGTTAGGTTCAAAAAATTGCCAATGCTTTTAGCCACTGAGCTATGAAAACACATAGAAACACTTTTTGAATCATTTTCTGCCAAAAGAAAAAAAGCAAAAAAGATTTGCCACCGGTGGGGTTTGAACTTGCGACTGTTAGGTTCAAAAAATTGCCAATGCTTTTAACCACTGAGCCATGAAAACACATAGAAACACTTTTTGAATCATTTTCTGCAAAAAGAAAAAAAGCAAAAAAGATTTGCCACCGGTGGGGTTTGAACTTGCGACTGTTAGGTTCAAAAAATTGCCAATGCTTTTAGCCACTGAGCCATGAAAACACATAGAAACACTTTTTGAATCATTTTCTGCAAAAAGAAAAAAAGCAAAAAAGATTTGCCACCGGTGGGGTTTGAACTTGCGACTGTTAGGTTCAAAAAATTGCCAATGCTTTTAGCCACTGAGCCATGAAAACACATAGAAACACTTTTTGAATCATTTTCTGCAAAAAGAAAAAAAGCAAAAAAGATTTGCCACCGGTGGGGTTTGAACTTGCGACTGTTAGGTTCAAAAAATTGTCAATGCTTTTAGCCACTGAGCCATGAGAACACATAGAAACACTTTTTGAATCATTTTCTGCAAAAAGAAAAAAAGCAAAAAAGATTTGCCACCGGTGGGGTTTGAACTTGCGACTGTTAGGTTCAAAAAATTGCCAATGCTTTTAGCCACTGAGCTATGAGAACACATAGGAACACTTTTTGAATCATTTTCTGCCAAAAGAAAAAAAGCAAAAAAGATTTGCCACCGGTGGGGTTTGAACTTGCGACTGTTAGGTTCAAAAAATTGCCAATGCTTTTAGCCACTGAGCTATAAGAACACATAGGAACACTTTTTGAATCATTTTCTGCCAAAAGAAAAAAAGCAAAAAAGATTTGCCACCGGTGGGGTTTGAACTTGCGACTGTTAGGTTCAAAAAATTGCCAATGCTTTTAGCCACTGAGCCATGAAAACACATAGGAATACTTTTTGAATCATTTTCTGCCAAAAGAAAAAAAGCAAAAAAGATTTGCCACCGGTGGGGTTTGAACTTGCGACTGTTAGGTTCAAAAAATTGCCAATGCTTTTAGCCACTGAGCCATGAAAACACATAGGAAACACTTTTTGAATCATTTTCTGCAAAAAGAAAAAAAGCAAAAAAGATTTGCCACCGGTGGGGTTTGAACTTGCGACTGTTAGGTTCAAAAAATTGCCAATGCTTATAACCACTGAGCCATGAAAAACACATAGGACACTTTTTGATCATTTTCTGCAAAAGAAAAAAGCAAAAAGAGTTGCCACCGGTGGGGTTTGACTTGGCGACTGTTAGTTCAAAATGCCATTGCTTATA